CGATAGAAACTACCCAGAAAGATAAACCCCCGGAGCGGGGCGTTCAGGAGCTAGGAGAGAATGTCAGATGGCCAAATGTTCGTGCCATAGAAGTCGAGAAAAGAGAGAATAGGCAGAAGAAAAGCGTGAGCAAATAATGACCAAGAAGTATTCATAATTAATAGTGGGCCACCATCCAATGGTGCAGGAGAATTGTCTGTATTCTGTCAGTCATGTTTTAAATAAATGCTGATTGGCCAGGTAGGAGGTGTAGGTGGGAAAACCAGACAGGAAGTGGAAATGATGCAAGGAGAGCAGGAGAATTCTGGGAAGGTGGAAGCTGATTCCTCCCACTCCTGCCCAGATCACCGAAGCAGCAGGATGTGATCTGCCCAGCTGAAAAAAGTATTGAGCCACATGACTAAAATAGATCAGAAAAAATGGGTTAATCAAGATGTGAGAGTTAGCTAATAAGTAGCCTGACAGCTTTATAACTTATAGAGATCTCAGTGTGATTTTTCTCTGGGACTAAACAGCTGGGGTACTGGGCGGGACAGAAAAACACAAACAAGCCAGCCCCCCTCATGTTACAGTCCAAAGAAGCTCAGAGAGTGCCAGGCAAAGTATGCATGCATACACATACATACACAGGCAGAAACTTCTAAGCATATCACATTCAGACTATTGAAATTTTGAGAAAGGGGAATTTTCTGAAAACAGTCAAAAGGGGGGGGGAATATGGGATATTTTATAGGAGGGGGAAAATAATTAAAAAAAAAAAACACAGCAAATTCTCACCAGAAACCATGCAAACTAAAAGACAGGACTGCAAAAAGAAAAGCAGAACCAAGTATCTGTCCACTGAGACGTGATTCCAGAAATGGGTTTGGGTGAAGACATCTGGAGGCACAGGTGAGGATAAGGGATCACAACAAGGGGCTGAGACCCACAGGCATTAAGAAGAAGGAACAGCCATTACCAGCGTCCAGGCTAAGGGGGGCATAGGACAAGTCACTGAAGCTGCTGCCTCGGGGAGACACCACTCCAAAGATGTGGTTGGCCAGCTGGAAAAGGGACAGCAGGAGACGGTAAAGGAAACCATGTCCTGACTTCTCCTCTTTCCCGCGCCCACCACTGACTTGACCCCACTGAAGCAAACCACCAGGGTGCCCAGTGTGCAATCTGAAGCTGCCAGTCTTTCAGGGGACAAAGAATGTCAAAGGACAGGTCTCGGAGGGAGCAGCCCAGCACCGTCACCAACTGGCTCCATGTTCCATGGAAGAGGGAGAGCCAGGATTCCATCCCTGCTGGACATGACTCCTAAGTGTTCTCCCCCAAGACACCTGGCCTTAGAACAGCATCCGTGAGCTTGTAAAGTCTGCAGATCTTACAGCTCTCAGGAGTCCTGAAGGCTAGAAGTCATTGTTTGAACTCAGCCTTGTGGTAAATAATCAGTGTAAGTCATGACTGCAAAATCCAGAAAGGACCCTGGCTCTGCCTAGCCTGAGGAATGCCCAGTGATGTGATGTCATCCAATGCCGTGACTCGAGGCAAAGGGAACTACTGTCACAGCTGGCTTTGAACTCTAATTCTTTACCAATGGCACAGTGACCAGATCCTTTGCTGGTGACACTGGTCTTTAGGACAATTACAGATGAAAGCCCTGAAAATCAACATCTTCATTATCCAACCGAAAAGTCAAGATCAGCAAACGTTACGTATGGCAGAGGTAACTTGGCATTCTCTCACACCCCCACCCACCTCCCACCCCCCCCCCGCGCTGCACGCAGCGAGCGGCTAGCAGTGGAGTCCGCGGTGTGAAGAAAGCCTTGCAGCACGTGTGAAGGTACCCTTTCGCGGTCCTCTTCTGAAAGCCAAGTTGGCGGCAGCTCCATGAATCTTTTATGTGTCTTCTTTCACCGTGCTGTAAAGATGCTTTGGAAAACTGGCGTGGAGAAAAGTCAGCGGGAAAAAAAAAAAAAAAAAACCCTGGCAATCATCTGGCCATCTTTACCTACCCCCTCCCAGCGGGGACCTGGCTCTGCAGCAAAGTGAGCTGCAGCCAGAGCCAAGCAGAACCTCTTGAAAATGTCAGTCTTCTTGACCCACTTGAGACTTCCAAACAGGATTTCCCCCCTCCTCTAAAGCAGAGATGGACACAAAGATTTTTTTCCTTTATCTGAAACAGCATAGCTTTTATGGGAAGTTTGTCCAAAACAAAAATTAAATTAAAAAAATAATAAAATAAAAATTTTTAAAAAACACAATCTTTACAGTCAAGCAGACCTGATTTTGAATCTGTATCCTATGAGCTGTGTCATTTTAGGCAAGTCGATCATCCTCTCTGACCTCCGTCATCATCATTTGTAAGACAACAATAACAATCCCTACCCTGAAAGATGCTAATAAACACAATGCTTGATACCCGAAAAGCACTCCGAACATTAATAAGCTCTTCTTTCTTCATGTAGAAGGGGTTATAAAGTAGATGACGGTTCTTAATCAGACCCAAAAAATCAACAATAATAGCCAGCATTCCCTTATCCAGTCAGTGAGCATCGCAGAGCAGGATCTCCATGCCCAGTCTCTTCCAGGCATTGAGAAACCAACAAGGTCCCTGTCCTCATGGATCTCATATTCTAATATCAGGAGTCAGGTAAACAAGATAACAAAAATAGTGCCAAGAACACAGGACAGTAATGAGGTAGAGAAGGGGTGTCTGTCTTATAAACAGTCCCTGACTGTTTGCTAGTGTATTTGAACAGAAGCACAGATGTTGAAAGAAGCTAGCTGTACTAGTACTCAAAGGCAGCCGTCAACCTCTGCAAACAGAAGAGCACCCCAGCACAACACCTGAGCATGGCACACCCCAGCACAACCTGGGCACAGCGTGTTTAGAACAGAAGCACAGTGTCTCCAGGGAAGCTCAGAAGAGCAAGCTCAAAGAGACGCAGGAAGGAGTCAGGTCCCATAGCCAACCTTCATACACATTATTAAGCACTCCAAGTTGTGGGCATTTTGTGGTTAAACAGAGCCAAGTGCAGTCCTCTGGGTTCACCTCTGTCAAGGGTAGAGACAGGACCCCCGCTCAGACCATGCCGTCTCTCCTGTTTATGGAAGAAGGCATGCCAGTGCTTCGGGAGTGTCTGTCACGGGAAGCACGACAGTCAAGCCAGAGCGGTGACACACACCTGTCATCCCGTCACCTGGGAGGTGGAGGCAGAAAGGTCACCCCCAGCTGCACAGTCAGCTCAAAGCCAGCCTAGGCTACACCAGACACTGTCTCAAAATAACACACTAAATCAACAAACAAAGCCATGGTAAGCAGAATTAAGATAATGTCCCAATATCACCCAAACAGACCCGGGGCCCAAAGCAGCCACTTGGAACTGTCTTTCCCTGATCTCTCTCCCATGCCACAGTGACTCTCAGCAGGTCCCTGGGTTTCTGCAGAGGCAACCCACAGGGCAGAGGGCTCAGGGCCTGGAGCGTGAGGGGCTCCAGTTCTCCCCACGATGTGAAAGGAAGAATACTCTGATGGGATAATCGCAGGTATTGATCAAGAGGGCGGGGGATCCATTTCTCAATCCATTGGCATTTCTCAAGCTCTGGGAGACACTGAAATTAATGAATAGGAGGCAAAAATTTATAAATTGGCCGTTCCATTTGATGTTCATTTAATTAAGACATTCAGTCCTTCTAATGGAGTATGTGAAGAGTGGAAATTGCTGGGTTTGGGCTGTCGCATGTAAAATGAAAACCAGATCTTGAAGGCACAGGGCCTTTTCATTGTATCTTCCTCTGGCTCGATTTAATTATGCATTACAATCTACCTTCCATAATAATTGCAATTGTCTGCCTTGATACAAAGCCTCCCTCTGTTTGGAGACGAAAACTCGGGGGAGAAGCCTGGGGAGATGGCTGAAGTATCACTGAATGAGAGTGGTTGCCTCTAGATTTGTGCTTCCAGCAGGAGTTTATTGTGCACCTACTGTGTGCCCAGGTTTATCGTGCACCTACTGTGTGCCCAGGTCTGCCAAGTCCTGCAGGAGGCAGTGTGTGAATGAACCACGGTCTCTTTCTCCCCATGCCCACTTCAGTATTCATTTATTTGTTAGTTTCCCACCGTCTGCTTGACATCTGTCCCAAATGATGCTGAAGCAGGGATGAATTGAGAGTCAGTGCCCCTGCATCCCAGTGGTGGCAGATGACAGGATCCAGGCGGTGTGACTCCAGATTCTCAGCCTAGTGTTCCGACTCCACAGAGCTGTCTTGACCTGCAGCACTCTTTCATGGCCCCAGGAGGGAGCCGGCTCACACACCAGCCTTTCTGAAACGCTCTAGAAGGAAGCAGGGCCTTTCCATGCCGGGCTGCAGACAGGCAAGGCTGTGCTTTCCGCCATATGGGCTCAGGAAGAAAGATCCGGAGAAGTGATGCCTTCTCCTGCTGGATAGCGGCAGGTGAGGTCGCATCTAGGAAACCCCGCCACGCCCTGGACAAGGAGAGGTTGGAGACTGGGGAGTAGATCTGACCAGAAAGGAAGGGCAGACAGTGCAAAGCCACAGCCAGAGCACGGCTCTCTCACGTTCTGCCCTGCTACCACGGCAACAATGCTCAACACTAACAGGGAAGAGGGACAGGTGTGATTGGTTTTACAGATCCACGTCCCAGCCCACCCCCGAGGGCGGCCGGGGCAGGAACCCGGAGGTAAGAACTCAAGCAGAGACCGTGGAGGATGCTTGGGTCCCTCTGCCCAGCACAGCGAGCTCTCCTACGCAGCTTATGCCCACCTGTCTAGGGAAGGGTACCACCCACCAAGGACTGGGGCCTCCTACCTCCATTAGCACTTAAGAAAACACTCCCATAGGCATGGTCGCAGGCCACTCTGATCAAGACGGTCTTCTCATTGGTGTAGCCTCTTCCCTGATGATTCTAAGTTAGGGTCAGTGTGACAGCTGAGGTCAACCATGACACGTACCATCCTCTGTCTGTCACTAAGTACCAACCCTTTGGTCCCTAGGTATGACAGCTTTGGCCGCCTGACCAACGTGACCTTTCCAACCGGCCAGGTGAGCAGTTTCCGAAGCGACACAGACAGCTCCGTGCACGTGCAGGTAGAGACCTCCAGCAAAGATGACGTCACCATAACCACCAACCTGTCTGCCTCGGGTGCCTTCTACACTCTGTTGCAAGGTAAGTCTTCCGGGGGTCTGGGGCCTCTGAGACCCAGAGGTGAGGACCCCTTTGGGGGAAGATGACCAGGGCTACAACAGTGGTCCAAGACCCAGACTCCCTCTTGGTTGGTCTCCATACTGCTACCTCATCTGCCAAACACGCCAGGAAGAGGCCTGGAAATCCTCTCCCAGAAGCTTGGGAGCCCATTGTCCTATGCTACTATCTTCAAAAAAAAAATGGGAGAGAATCCATTGGCTATTAATCCAGGTGACCTCCTCCTCTGCTCTTGTAATGGCTCCCAGATTCAAACCCTTTCCTCTCACACTAGTGCAGGGGAGACAGAGGACACAAGTAATCACACCTAACTGTGGCGCAGAGAGATCCACCCAGAAGCCCGGGAGAGGGCTGTGCCTCCCCCAGAACTCCGAGGGAAAGAGACCCTGCCTTCCATACACCTGTCAGGTCATCCCCGATAGGGCTTGTAATGTTAGCTCCAGGTCAATGACAGTGAGGGAATCTTGCTGTGAATCCCCCACCTAGACTGTTCCCATGGGAAGTAGGGACCCCCACGTACTGAAACTTTGATGGATTTAAGAAAAGCCAGCATCACTTAGGAAAGCCCCAACTGCCCTTTCCCTTCCTTCCCTGGCTCAATGCACTCCCAAAGCCTTGACATTGAACAGCAAAAGGAGCTTTGCACTGGGAATCCGAGGTTCAGTTCTAGCTCCGTCTCTGCTACCTTCTTATGGCACAGCGCTCAAATTTCTTCTTCAGGGAAAGAAAGCATGGTGAACGGGTTTTGGGTAGCGTGGAGTCTCTGAGTGAACCTGAGGCACCTGCGCCTGCTGCACAATGCGCATTCCCGACGATATGAACTGAAGGGGGTCAGCTCTTCTTCCCTGAGCCTCACTTTCTTGATGTTGGAAATGGAGCTGCATTATAAGCTCTACCTCACGGAGTTACCTAGATATATTGTAAACAGCATCTGTAAAGTGACCAGCATGGGCCAGGCACAGAGTATTGCTCAGAAAACACTTGCTGGATTAACTCATTAATTAGCAAGCAGTTGGATTTACCACAAGGAAGCAAGTGTTTGTGTTTTCATTACTGGTTTTGTTCCCACGCATAGTTTTCACCTTTCAAAAAGCTGGATGAAAAACAGCAGCTATTAAAGAAAGAGAGATCATGCCCAGGAATTTCTTTCTTTTAGTGAGGAGTTGGATCACATCACAGGGTGTGTGCTATGGCAGAGTTATTGCCAAGAGAAGGTGCCAGTGAGAACCCTGCCCGACCCAGGACAGCAAAGACAATGATTGTTAAGATGTGGAACCTTCTGCCGAGTTTCTTCCCTCAAGAACTGTTGTGTCTGCACAATTCATACTGCTAAGTCTGCTTTAATAAGTTTTCTATGTTTGGGCAACTTTTTAAAATCTGAAAGTGCCACATTTCTCAGGTTAAAGAAGTTCCACCATTTAACCCCAGCTTTTCAGGTGGGGTGAATCAAAGTACAACGTCCAGCGTACATGCCTGGATTGTAAGTCACCCCAACTCCAGAAACATCGGAACATAAAAAGGAAAAGCACAGCCTGGAATACAGGGACGCGTGGTACCTATTTTCTGCCCGGCACCCCTGCAGGTTGCCCGTCTGGTCTGTGTCCCAGACTCGGGTGCTCGGCCTGGCCGCCGTCTCAGGAGCCTCTCCTTGTCAGAAGCCCCTTTCATTTTCATCTCAGGTCTGAACTACGAGAAATAATGAGAAGGAGCTGCTAATGAGTGGCAGCCTTGGGCGCTCACAGCCCACATTAACGCCCCGCACGCTGGTCCATTCAAAGTCAGCCATAATAGACGCATGTGCATTCAGCAAGGAGACGCTTTATGAGATAAATTGACACAGGCTTTCCCACTCTTCAGATGGAAGCAAAATACAGATTGTCAGTGAACGATGAATAGCAACATTGAGGCCGACTTCAGAATCCCTGCGAGCGGTAATAACGCATGGAAAGATGGAGTGGGGAAGAGAGAAGGAAGTCCTGAGTGGATGTCATCTTAGTGGGGAGATTCAACAAGGGCTGCCCATGAAAACCATAGCTTTTGAAAAAGACAGCTTTATTTTGTTTCATGTGTATGAGCATTTTGCCTGCAGGTATAAACGTGCAACACATTCGTGCCTGGTGTCCATGGAAGCCAAAAGAGGAGATCATATGGGTCCCCTGGAATTGGAGCTACAGATAGTTGTGAGCTACTGTGTGGATGCTGGGAATTGAACCCAGGTCCTCTACAAGAGCAGCAAGTATCTTAACCACAGATCCATCTCGCTGCAATCCCCAGCACGATATTTTTATGGTTTAACATAGCCTGGGACATACCTAATTTAATCCACCAAATACTCACTAAGCACATGCAGTAATAGTAATGCTAGCTATTGTACTTTGAACACTTCTCAGCTAAAAAGGATATATGACCACTTGCATCTAACTTCTTTCACTTAGAAATGTTGATAATACATTTTCTTACAGTTTTATTAGTCGCTGGAAAAACTGAAACAAGCTGGGTGGTTAATCCCAGCACTCGGGAGGCAGAGGCAGGCGGATCTCTGTGAGTTTGAGGCCAGCCTGATCTACAGAGCGAATTCCAGGACAGGCGCCAAAGCTACACAGAGAAATTGGTCTCAAAAAGCCAAAAAACAAACAAACAAAAAAAAAGCAAACTAAAACAAATTAAATGTCTATTTGGTGTTGTTAAATAAATTGTATTGCCATATAATGGAAGACTGTAGTTATTATGAAAGATATTTATTAAAAATATCTAATGGCATGGCATAATGCATTGGACAATGAAAAACTCCACAGTAACTATTTGACTCTGCAAATGCATTAGGAAATAGTGTACATTCTACAAATATACAAAATATTTCCAGTGCTTTTGAGCAGTGGGCTTATGCATAGTCTCCATATGTCTTCCTAGTTTTCCTCCGTGGTGATGCATTGCTTCTATAGTTGCAGGGGGGCCATTTAGACCCCCATCCCAACCTCTGTCTTCCCTCTTCTTAAGCGTCTTTGCCCTTCTCTCCTTCAGACCAAGTCCGGAACAGCTACTACATCGGGGCTGATGGTTCCCTGCGGCTGCTGCTCGCCAACGGCATGGAAGTGGCCCTGCAGACCGAGCCACACCTGCTGGCTGGCACCGTCAACCCCACTGTGGGCAAGAGGAACGTCACACTGCCCATCGACAATGGCCTCAACCTGGTGGAATGGCGGCAGCGCAAGGAGCAGGCTCGCGGTCAGGTCACAGTCTTTGGGCGCCGTCTGCGGGTGAGCATAATTGTGCAGGCACCAATGTGGTGGCGGGGACGGTGTTCAGAGAAGCAGATTCCATTTTTAAGACTCTCCCCAAAAGCTCAGTGTCCTCATCTGCCATAGGGAGAGCTGAGACCATCAACCACATGTAACAAAGGGCTGTGGGACAGAGACCATGAGCCACATGTAACAAAGGGCTGTGGGACATGCTTTTCAGTTTTGATGGGTTTGGGAACATGGCTGACTTTGTGGTTGAGCCTGCGCTGAGTTTCCAGCTTATTTTCTTCCATGGACTGAACGTGGGCACGTCAGTCATCTTGGAGCTCCAGTGTCAGTCCCTGGGAGATAAAAACTGATTTTACGTGCCATTCCAAGGATCCGAAGTGGCATGCACAGTGTCTCACACGGGGCTTGGCACAGCACACATCAGGGATCAGTAACTTCTGCAGCTTATGCCGCTATTGCTAGGGTGTTGTTACTGCCCATCTCCCCCACCCTCCACCCCCGTTTCAAAAAGTAAAGGGTTAAAGGGCAAAGAACATCAATGCAGGAACTCAATGGCTGAGCACTTGTCTGGTGGGTCCTTAGCATGGGAACAAAGAGGAGACCAAGGCTAAGGGAGCCTGGGGCTTCAGGTCAGTGGTTGAGTGTTTACCCAGCAGATTGCGCAGCAATGTACAGTACAAAGCAGAAGACAAGGGCTGTACAAAGGGACAGCTGGTGACCTGGACCTGGCTCTCTGCCCAGCACCGCGTTGAACACAGGTGCTCAGGAGACAGCTGCTGAGCCGCAGTGAACCACAGAAACATCCACACAACACTGGACTCTCGATTCCCTGCCTCGCAACCAAGAAAGCTAAGACGTTCCCATCTTCGACGTGGGGCAAAGTCCAGAAAACAAGTGATTGTTTCAGACCCATATAATTAGGTGGTTGTAGATCCTGGGAAAGGGATCCATGTCCGAAGCAGCGACAGTGGAGTGACTTATCCAATAGCAAAACCTAGAGCCACAAAAGCCGGGTTTCCTTTGCACCCTCAATGGCCAAGACCTCTAGCTAGCTAATGTGGAAACCTGCCCCCTACTAGTTCCTGTGGAAGGCCTGGTTGTCTTTGTTCCCCAACACCAACTGTGGTCTCACTAAACCCTCATCTGCATTCTCAAGAGTCCTTCAATGCACCTCTGAGGCAGCAAGCCAAACGGGAAATTTGACCTAGGTTGGATTCCCGCTGGGCCTCTTGTGTAGCCTCCAGCAACTCCTCTGAGCCTAAACATCTTCAGCAGATGCGGGATGCTGATACATTCAAAGTGCCTAGCCCAGGGCTGCAGATCCCAGGTGCTCAGTAAAGGGCAGTGATTAGTGCTTTTAGGAGTGTCTCTCTACCGTGTGAACAGGACCAGAAGTTTCCCAGGCTTTTAATTGGTCCCTCTCCCAGCCGGAGATAGATGATACTCTAGTCCGGTGGCCACGTCTCTGCTGCCTCCCAAAATAAATGGCCACCCACAGTGGCAGTGTGTGGAATGAGAATGTTAGCCGGGTGCACCTCCCCATAATGGAGCTCATTTTTTATACAGCTGGGAGTTTGTTTTCTTTTTTTTTTTTTTAATAAAGAAAGATGTAAAATAATCTCATTGCTGCCACTGCAGAGCACAGGAAACACAAGGTGCTTTCCCTCATGAACTGTTCAACTCAGTTTTATTAATTTTGTCACAGAGGTACAGATCCCCTTCTCCACTAGGGTCTCGGGTCTGGGGGAGGCTGTCTAGGTGGCACCATCCCTGAGGGTATCAAAGAACCTCCCAAAACGTGCTTTTCAAATGTGCCCACCGTTGCTGGCAATGTGGCCCCCTCTTCTCGCATACCCTCTCTGCAAAGAACACGGGATGGGCTTCCAGCGCCTCTGATTTTTCACGGGAATTGTCTGCCACACGGTTTTTGCTTCTGCAATTGTGTTTGATTACCCTAGGGAAGGCGAGCTTATTATAACCAGGCCATTCACAGCTATAGCCGTCTCCACGGCATCATTATAAATCCTGATTTCCGGGGCCTTGACATTTGTACGGGGAGACTGGGGGAAGACACACACATATCTCTCCTTCCTCTAGGACTAACCATGGTCACATGCTGTCATTTAGTGGAAATAATTATAGCCATTTATCCAGTGCCTTCTATGCACCTACTCGTCCACGGGTGCTTATTCATAGTCTAGAGTCTAGCGGGAGACTCAGAGAAGTAAACATACTTGGACAAGGTCACACAGGAAAGCTAGTCTCATCATCAAGGTTGGAGTTCCAACCTTAACCCAGACCCCTGCCTACACCCAAGCCTTCTTCTAAATGCACAGATCCCAAAAGGATCTTTGACTTCCTCAAGCCACACATGCCATTTTACATCATGTGACCTAATTACCTACTTTCCTCCTGGGGCTTCCTGCTTGTCAGACTTACTAAATGACAAGTAGAAGAGACAGCAAAGGTGCCCCTGTGCCCTGTTGGGCCAGCACCCCTCCCTAACCCCACCAGTAAACATTAGCTTTGAAGAACCTGCGAACATCTGGGGACAGACATGGTGGTACCATTTGCAATCCTGGTGCTGGGAAGGCAGAGAGGGTGGGCCCCTGGGGTTCACTAGGCAGCCAGTCTAGCCTAAATAGAAAGTTCCAGGTTCCTGTGTATCCCAACTCTCACACACAAACACAGACAGAGTTCCAACTCGCAGCTTCCTCTATGGGAGTCTATACTTCCGACTCACAAAGGAAGCTGAGCTGGTGGCAGCCTCACAGACCCCAGGGAGACTTTGCTGGGGCTCCTGACCCTGGAGGCAAAAGCAAAGTCCTCTAACAGAGTTAGAACTAGTTCCGACCAGACTATAAGGAAAACCACTGGAGGTGTGAATGCCCCGGCCTCCCAGCCACCTCTGAAGAGAAACAGATGCCTTGACTATGGACAAAGACAGGAAGGACCCAAAGCACAGCAAGAGGAGAGCCCCAGGAACGCAGGACTTGCTCAGAAAGCCTTCAAGTATCTACTGCACCAGGGAGAGTGAAGTCCACCGATCTGCAGCTTCCCTGCGCTTGGTGACCTCGGAATCCAACACAGCACAGCATCCGACTCACAGCAGACAGACCAGGTGTCGATTTGCTGGGCTCACTTGGTAGTTCTGATTTTAGGAGCTAAGAGGGATCTGACTTCCTCCTCCTCCCCTTCTTCTTCTTTTAAATAAGTCTCCATTAATGTATCCCATGATAAAATCATGTGTCTTCTACGGCCAGAGATGCTGTTTGCTCGTTACCCATGTTGTCTTTATTCCTACAACAGGCCAAGAAGTACATTTTTTTCCTATTGTGCAGATAAGGAAGCCTCAAAGAGCTCACAGATGGCAGAGTGAGGTTTGATGCCCACAAGCCCCCGTGCTGCCTTCTCTTCTCAGGAACTCAACACAGTTGTTGGTCCTCAGAACCAACATGGTCCATGCCCACACCCAGAGCCTCTCCCTTTCTCGTCCCTTTCCCAGGTTCACAACCGGAACCTCCTGTCTCTGGACTTTGACCGTGTCACACGCACAGAGAAGATCTACGATGACCACCGCAAGTTCACCCTCCGGATCCTGTACGACCAGGCAGGGAGGCCTAGCCTCTGGTCGCCTAGCAGCAGGCTCAATGGGGTTAATGTGACCTACTCCCCTGGGGGTCACATTGCCGGAATCCAAAGGGGCATCATGTCTGAGAGGATGGAATATGATCAGGCAGGGCGCATCACATCCCGGATCTTTGCGGATGGGAAGATGTGGAGCTACACGTACTTGGAGAAGGTAGGTGTCTGCCTCCCCCCTATCAGTGGCCTTGCCACAGAGAAGGTTGATTGTTGCGGCTTTATTTTTTTATGATGGTACCACTATGCTCCCTGAGGTGCGCTTGAACTCCTGGGCTCCTTGACGGATCCTCCAGTCTTGGTCTCCTGAGCAGCTGAAGGCATTCTCTAGGGCACCTGCTTTCCTCTTTGCCCCCCCATGGCCAAGCCTTGCCTGCTGACCTCAGGGGGATGAATCTGACTGTTGAGGTTTCCAAAAGGGAAGGTGTGCATTTTCCAAGAGGAAAGGGGGTCTCAGGAGGTTTCTGGATGGGAAACGGGTTTAGTGCAGTGAGGAAGAGGTCTTAAGCCAGGAAAACACAGAAGTTGTGCTGATGGAGAAGAGGAGGCCCACCCACCATACTGGACAATAAAGTAGGACCATCCTAGTGTAGCTCAAGAGTCTGCTCACACAGGACCAGTTCCTGCTTCCAGAATCATCACACACAGTGCAACCTCACCCTGGAGATCCAAGCAGAAGCCTGGAGGTCACCTCAGGGACACAGCAAACTTTATCCCCTGCTGCCTATACTGGGTGCTGGCCTAGCAGATCCCTTCCACTTTGGGTCAGGATTCACTGCCCCCAGAGACTAAGAATCAAAAATGACAAAAATTCTAAACGTGTTTAGATAGATTTTTTAAATTACCTAAATTCAGAAGTTGATCTCATATAGGGGAGGGGAAGTGGTAGTTTTTCCGTTTGGTTTATTTGGGGGAGGGGGCTTGTTTTGCTTTGTATTTTTCTCTCAAGACAGGATTTCCTCTGTGTAGCCCTGGTTTTCCTGGAACTCTGTCTGTAGAGCAGAGATCTGGCTCCCAAATGTTGCGAATGAAGGCGTGCGCCACCACCACCCAGCTGGTAGATTTGGTAGTTAGACACAGGCTTGTTATCTGGTGATTTTCCTAAGACAGAATATTAGCTTTCAGTCCTGCTTGTGGATTCAGAATCCTCAGTTTATTTCTTGCCCTGGTCACCTGTTTGGGGCCCCAAGCTCTGCTTGTTCTGTGGTAAATGTCTCTGCCTGTGCTGGTGAGCATCCCTGTTGGTGAGCAAGGCTCGGTTGTAGGGTTACACGGCACTGTGGAAGTCATCCCACGTACTGAAAGGCCATGCCTGGGGGAACAGAACTCACCAGTGTAGCACAATGGGTGCATCGATAGAACAAGGGTCTCCCTTCAGCCTGCCCTACCCCAGGGTGGGCCCATGGCTTGTTACTACATGGAAGGTGGAGAAATGCCTAAAGTGCCCTTCTCAAACATGGTCTCATGCTACAGGCTCAGGGAAGCCTCAGAAGTTGCTTAGCAGGCAAAGGCTTTAAGGTCATTAGGCTGTGTGGTGATGTTCCTTCTCGCTCGGATAGAATGCCTGAGGTCAGAAGTCTGGGTCAGGGAACGCAGTGGGGAAATCGTTACAAATCCTGTAGGCCAGAGCACTGCGGTCTTGCACCCCATCTCATGCAGAAGTGATCTGATCCATATCGTACAAAAAAGCAAACGGCTTGCTCACAAGAGGAAAGCAAATGGCCTGCGTGGGCCCTGCAAGGCCAAAGGCGGAGCGAAAGCCCGGCCACGGTGCCTCTCTAACCGCTGACAGCATCCCACGGTGCGTACGTCGGAAGGCTCTGCTTGAGCCCAGCACAGAGCCACTTTGCTTGGCCTCCCATTCCTTTCCTCTATGTTGTGGGTACTTGAGTTGTCATTCCTCCTGCCACCCCCTTCATCTCTGATCCTCTTCTCCCCCCAGTCCATGGTGCTTCACCTCCACAGCCAGAGGCAGTACATCTTCGAGTTTGACAAGAACGACCGCCTCTCTTCCGTGACCATGCCCAACGTAGCCAGGCAGACGCTGGAAACCATCCGCTCGGTGGGCTACTACAGAAACATCTACCAGCCCCCGGAAGGCAACGCCTCCGTCATCCAGGACTTCACCGAGGACGGGCACCTGTTGCACACCTTCTACCTGGGCACTGGCCGCAGGGTGGTTTACAAGTACGGCAAGCTGTCGAAGCTGGCCGAGACTCTGTACGACACCACCAAGGTGAGCTTCACCTACGACGAAACGGCGGGCATGCTGAAGACCGTCAACCTCCAGAACGAGGGCTTTACCTGCACGATCCGCTACCGTCAGATCGGGCCCCTCATTGACCGCCAGATCTTCCGGTTCACAGAGGAAGGCATGGTCAACGCCCGCTTCGATTACAACTACGACAACAGCTTCCGCGTGACCAGCATGCAGGCCGTGATCAACGAGACCCCGCTGCCCATCGACCTCTACCGCTATGATGATGTGTCAGGCAAGACGGAACAGTTCGGGAAGTTCGGTGTCATCTACTACGACATCAACCAGATCATCACCACAGCCGTCATGACCCACACCAAGCATTTTGACGCTTACGGCAGGATGAAGGAAGTACAGTACGAGATCTTCCGGTCCCTCATGTACTGGATGACTGTCCAGTACGATAACATGGGGCGGGTAGTGAAGAAGGAGCTGAAGGTGGGACCCTATGCCAACACCACCCGTTACTCCTACGAGTACGATGCTGACGGCCAGCTGCAGACAGTCTCCATCAACGACAAGCCGCTCTGGCGCTACAGTTATGACCTCAACGGGAACCTGCACCTGCTGAGCCCCGGAAACAGTGCCCGGCTCACACCGCTGCGGTACGACCTCCGTGACCGTATCACGAGGCTGGGTGACGTGCAGTACAAGGTGGATGAGGACGGCTTCCTGAGGCAGCGGGGTGGGGATGTCTTTGAATACAATTCGGCGGGCCTGCTCATCAAAGCCTACAACCGGGCCAGTGGCTGGAGTGTCAGGTACCGCTACGATGGCCTGGGGCGCCGCGTGTCCAGCAAGAGCAGCCACAGTCACCACCTGCAGTTCTTCTACGCGGACCTGACCAATCCCACCAAGGTCACCCACCTCTACAACCACTCCAGCTCGGAGATCACGTCCCTCTACTACGACCTGCAAGGACACCTCTTCGCCATGGAGCTGAGCAGCGGCGACGAGTTTTACATCGCCTGCGACAACATCGGGACCCCCCTGGCCGTCTTCAGTGGAACCGGCCTGATGATTAAGCAGATCCTCTACACCGCCTACGGGGAGATCTACATGGACACAAACCCCAACTTCCAGATCATCATCGGCTACCACGGCGGCCTCTACGACCCACTCACCAAGCTCGTCCACATGGGCCGGCGGGATTACGATGTGCTGGCCGGACGTTGGACGAGCCCAGACCATGACCTCTGGAAACGCCTGAGTAGCAGCAGCATTGTGCCTTTTCACCTCTACATGTTCAAGAACAACAACCCCATCAGCAACTCTCAGGACATCAAGTGCTTCATGACAGGTGAGGGCTGGGGTACCCCCAGGTCAGGACCTACCCCGTTGCTCTGGTAAAGAGCAGGTGTTGGGTGGCAGGAGACACTGACCGCCCCTAGTGGCATTGGTTCCCAAAGTCTATTTAAAGAAACACTAGTTTGGAAACTACTCTGGAAACAATGGATCCAGCATCAAGCAGAGTTGACAGGACCACTTTCTTAACTTTTCCTAAGGTTACGAGGTTCTGTAGTGAAAAGAGCTCTTTAGTATCCCTACCTATAACTTGTCTAAATTGTTTTACCAGAAAACCCCAATGTCTCAGCCGAGCAGTGGTGGCACACACCTTGACCCCAGCACTCGGGAGGCAGAGCCAGGCGGATCTTTGTGAGTTCAGGGCCTTCCTGATCTACAAAGAGAGTTCCAGGACAGCCAGGGCTGTTACACAGAGAAACCCTGTCTCGAGAAACAACAACAATAACAAAAATCCTAATGTCTCACTGGAAATAGCCCTTGGGATGCTCTCTGGGAGTTTCCGACATGGGCATCAAGCTGGCTTTGGGTCCTCACTAGTATGAGCTAAGGTGTAGCTAAAATAAAGTCAGTTATTTCAGCTTACAATAATGCAATGGAAAACAGATTTGGGGGTCAGACAGAACTAAGGGAATGGATCCACATTTCAACTTTGGCGTATTATTTTACTGCTCTGAATTTTAGCTTCCTGTGCTTACATTAAAGTTAGAATACCAGGATAAGTGTGGTGGTTCATACCTTTAGTCCCAGAACTCAAGAGGCGGAGACAGGCAGGGATTTCTACGAGGTCAAGGCTAGCCTAGTCTACATAATGAGTTCCAGGCCAGTCAGGCTATCATAAGACCCTGACCCTGTCTCAAAATAAATCAAATGTTAGAACACCTATCCTTATTCTGGTTGGATAAATGTCTATATGCTACCCTAGAGCAACCATTAGAACCTAAATCTAAAGCAGATAGTACAGAGTGTGGTAGAGGCAGGAGGATCAGTTCTAGTTCGGTCCAGGCTGTAGGAGACCCCGTTTCAAAGAAATAAAACTTAATCAGGTACAAATAGGCATCATTAATAAAGTCAGCAATCATGGAGATAAAGGAGAGTAAGAAAACATTGGAGCTGGGGATATAGCTCATTTGGTAGAGTACTTCCCAGTGCACAGAAATTGCGTGCACAAAGCGTGCCCAGATTGGACCCCAGCACTCAGGAAGTGGAGCTTGGAGGACCAAGAGCTCCATGTCATCCTTGACTACATAGAGTTTGAGGCTAACCTAGGATACAGGACGCTGTATCTTAAAATGTGTGTGTGCGTGAATGCGTATGTGTGTGCATGTATGCATGTGTGTGCATGTGTGCACATGTATGCATGTGTGTATGCATATGTCCGTGCATCCTAAGCAGGCAATAAAGGAATATAAAAAGGAACAAATAATTCATGAAATAAGTAGAAGCCTAGTGGCAAGGGCAATGTGAGACTCATTTCATGCCTCACACGGAGCATACTGGTCCTCTTTGCTTTAAAGGGAAAACATTAGCTTTCATTTCTCTAAAACCAACTAGAGTATAAAGTGTCCTGTGGGTTCTTAAGATGGAGACACCTCAGGTTGCTACGGTCACCCAGCGAGTCATACAAGGAGAATCAGAAGTTCAAGGTCATCCTTGGACTATACAACCTGAATACATGGGAATCAATCTCAAAAAAGAAGGAAAAGAGATGCTTCTATATCACAACAAAACACTAAAACCAAAGGTTTGCAAAGCAATCCTTAAGTTTGGGGTCTATATATTTTGTAGTCTAGCCTGTTCCACTTCAATGAACACTGGTCATGACCCCAAAATTGATTTACCTACATAGTGGGTCCTACGGCATATGAAAAAGAGAGAGAATGTTGTCTAAAAACTCAGGCTTTCAGACCATCAGAAATGATTTAGTGGCTAATAGGAAACTAAGATTCTACTGATGTTCACTACACCTTACCTTTTAGCTTCTCTGCAGGCTAAACGTATCCTCATCCATGTCCTGAAACAACAGCAAAGAAAACTTATTTTTTCCAAATGTATCTTCAAAAGTCCTGAGGTATACTCTAGTAAGGTCATGTGACCTTACTGGGTCATGTGACAGTGGAGCACTTTGGGGTTCAGGACAGAATGAACTGATTGGCTCATCCTGGATCACATGGTCCACTACTGCATCAGTGTCTGCTCCCCTCTCCCTTCCAACAGAGAAAGAAGGTAGAGCTAGATCTTGGGGAGGCAGCCCTAAAATGTCCACCACAGGTGTATCTCATTAGGATGAGTCTTTCCTGAAACACGTGGGGTGAGGAAGTTCAGGACAGGTAAAGTAACCCTCCCCTCCTGCAAAGACGCAAAGACGTGGGGAGGCCAGCCTTGGAACTCTGCAGGTCTGCCTTCAAATGCTTAGCCTTCTTTGAATTCACATACAGTCTGTGAAGAACAAAAGTCACACCCACGTAGAAGGATTCAAATCACTTGCATGTTATCCCTCCCTCCTGGCAACAGTGACTTCTGGGACTGACTGGCAGGTAAGGCAGAGCTTTTCAGCAGGAAGGAGATGCCCGCCCCTCGGGTTGTAAGAGTGCAGTTCCCGGTGCTTCAGAAAAGCCCGGTAGGAAAGCTAGCGAATAGATAGATCTCTGACATTTTCCTGAAAGGCGTGAGAGCAAGCTCCCCATCTTCCATCACTCCTTATTAAAGCCCAGCCCTCTCCTGCATCCCCCGCTTCCCTGGGAATGGGCGCTATTCTGGATAGAAAGATCCCTTGCAACCACAAATCCCAATGCACAGCCTCAGCCTAGAGCAAGACGGCTTTGTGAGGTGTTCTTTCCCCGTGTTCTGCTAGTTTTAAGTTCCCGAAGATCCATCTGCTGAGACTCATAGAATGAGAGACTTCTGGAAACTCAAGGAGGAAAGGGCCATAGTGAAGCCATCCAAGCCCCCTGTTGCAAATAAGAAAATGGGGGTCTTGGGATAGACAAAGGCAGAAAGCCCTCTGTGAGGGAGTACCTGATCTGGAGACTGTGAATTAAACCCAACATTTTAGGCTTGGAACAGCTCCTGCTATACAATAGCTACCTCCAAGTGATATCCTTATTTTCCACTAAAACTTAGTAAAAACCATTCTTGCTGTCAGTATGCAGACCCGGGAGAAGTCTCTGAGAAGTAAAGTAAGCTCTCCAAGTTCATTGTTTGTACACTAAGAAACCCTTCTGTGACCTGCATAAGAAGGCTAAAGGGGGAATTTAAACCTGGGTTTAAGGGGCCTGGGACAACTGAAAACAACAGAAAAGGCAGAAACAGATGTGAGGTGCTTAGATGGGAGAGAAACACGGGTTGCAACAGAGTTGCAAGAACACACTTGCCTGTTGAAGCCCGCAGGTCGCTCCCACTCAGTAGCTGCGGTGGGAGGGGAACTATTACATCCTCCTTGGCTGGGCTCATCACCTGGACCTCTCAACAGAGATAGGTCTCCACTGGAAAGAAAACAAAAAGCACCTGGCTCTGGAGCTGTCCACAAAACCTTGTCCCCCCTCCCCCTTGTCCATTTGGATTCTGAGTCCCTCCGATGAGAGCTTTAGCATCTTCAGCTGCTGCCCCCTCTGGAAGAAGGCTGAGATGCATTGCAACACAGACGACCTCCAACAAGGCCACCTCCCTCCGGCCACCCCAGGCTCTGTCCTTTCTGGTCCTTCCTCAGCCTTTATGAACTCCTCTCTGCTTCATCCTCACTGCCCCCTCTCAGGCACCTCGCCTTGTGCAGCCATCTTTGGCTGGAGTACAACCCCCACCTCCAAGGATGCCAGAACCAACCATGGTTTTCTCGTTCGGCTTCAATGACATGCCTTCATCATGTCTGATTTTTATTATATTTAAGAGATCTATGGGCCCAGGTCCCATCTCCCTTTGGGGTCATAAGTGTTCAAGGGAAGGTTCTATGATGACATAGCATCTGCCAACACAGTGGGCCTTCTGCCGCATGGGTCAAGTGACTGATAGCCTGAACCTCCATCTAAGGTCATGCATGGCTTCTGCAGTGTTTTATCTGGTTGGTTAGTTGGATGGATTTTTATTGTTTTCATCCATGGTTTTGCTTTGCTTTGTTTTGAAATAGATCTCATATAGCCCAGGCTAGCCACAAACTCAGTATGTAGCCAAGGATGGCCTTCAACTTCTGTTCCTCCCGTCTCCACCTCCTGGGTGCAGGAATGACAGGCACCAATTTATGTAGTGCTGGAGACTGCACCCAGGATTTCATGCATGTTAGGCAAGCGCTCTACCAGCTGAACTGTACCCCAACCCGGGATCACAGATTTCTGAGTCTATCCTTCAGTGAGCCCAGTGCTCACTGAAATACCTTATCAATAACTCGCAACTCTAAGGAAGATGGTTAATAAGCTTAGAGACTAGCAGACTGAGGCCCTGGGAGGTTGAGAGACTTCCTAGTGCTGTCAGGAATAAGACAGGTAGCTCGCAGGAGCGCTCTTTGATCCTCTCACTAGTCAGCCTCATGCCCACAGGCGTGTTGGCTCCAGGGTTCTAATGGCTACAGAGAGGGTGGATAGAGAAGGGGCGGCTTGTTTCCTATGTGAATCTTTCCACTTTGCAAGTGAGCCATGAAAATCCTTTCTCGGCCACTCTGACCTTTGCACGGGTTTCCTTTTGACGCTGGGGGAGAGGATGGACCTGGGAGAGCGTCATCCGTCAGCAGCTGCCTCTGGGTGAGCAGATGAACTTAAGAGAGGAAAAGAGCTATCCGGGGTGTGGGTTCTGCCTAGGTTTCCTCTGTCTTGGATCTACCCGTTGGAGGACAGTTCTGGGCATAAACCTGGAAGATGGATCGCTGGGGGTCCAGCCACACATTTGCTTTTACGACCAGGACATGATTTTCCGGTGTGTGTGGCAGCTCTGTCACCAGTCACTTCCCACTTACGGTGCCTGGGCAAAAGGCCGCTCACTCACGAGGCATATTTCTGCTTTTCTCCACCCAGATGTCAACAGTTGGCTGCTCACCTTTGGATTCCAGCTACACAATGTGATACCTGGCTATCCCAAACCAGACACCGATGCCATGGAGCCATCCTACGAGCTCGTGCACACACAGATGAAAACTCAGGAATGGGACAACAGCAAGGTAACGCCCCACGTAACAGCCACACCTCTGGCCGTTCTGGGCAGGATGGAAACTGAGGCAGCACCTTCATGGTTCCTGCTGGACAGCTTTCAGAAAACAGCAAATCCGTAGCTAAGCAGGCCCTAGGGACCCAGCTGTAGCAACACATGGACACCACAGGCTGCATAAAGGGAGTTTTGTGTGAGCCACCAAGTTCAGAGTTCCGTAAAAAATAATAAGCCTTTGTCACCGTGTAGGCAGAAGCACTAGGCGAGAAGGTTGAATGTGCAGATGTGATGTTTTCTGAGCGCCTGCTGCACCTGCACTGAGTGATGCTTTACTTAAGTTAGCTCACAAATGCACCATGCTGTTATTCCCCTCATTGTCCACGTTTAATGCATGAGACGATTCAAACCCAGATTTGTCCACTTCGGGTCACCTGTCTGACATGACTAGGCTCTAGGAGAGAGAGAGAGAGAAAAAAAATCTTCCTTTATGACCAGATTTCAAAGGCTTGGAATTATCAGGCTGGGAAGATCTTTTACAACAGTCTCATCTCACCTGCTGCTCACTTCATACATTGCTCACCCCAAACTCAGCCTCCATTCATAAATCCTGTACCAGGAACAGATTCTGTGCCCAGCTCTGTACCCACTGAATGCAAGGGTAGGTTAACAAGTAGACTAAGTCTTCTAGGGGAGGCCATTGCAGGGACAGAAAACTCCAGGGAGAAGCAGCAATACAGCATGGTCCTGTGCTTGGAAAATTTCCTGGTCTTCCCTCCAACACCCCCCCCCTTTTCCTCTGTCTCCTGCTTCCCCTGCCTTGGTACACATGGAGAGTGTGTGTGTGTGTGTGTGTGTGTGTGTGTGTGTGTACATAAGTCACCTTTTGGACAGAAAGATTGTGTTTGTGTGTGTCCTTTGCTGAACCTGAAGCTCACGAATTCAGACAAGCTGGCCAAAAGAACCAGTGATCTCCCTGTTTCTGCCTCCTGAGCACCGAGGCTACAGATTATATCCGCCTCCAGCCTCAGCTCTTTACCGAGGTCCTCATGCGTGTGGGGTCAGCTCTTCTAACTGAGCCACTCCCCAGAACCATATCCCTATTTCCTGTTCTAGACTAATTCCTTTAGGCTCGTCTTAGTTGCCGCCTCCCCGACTTGTGGATGAGTCTGATCAAGTGGTTTGCTCTGTTCAACTTTCGTTTTCTTTCTTATTCCATTTCTAGATGGTGAAACCTAGTAGGTTAAGTTATGTGTCTCAATTAGTGCCCAGCATACAGGCTAGCACACTGTCGGTGCTTCGGCGGTACGATAACTGACCCATGGAAAGAGCCCATTTCATAAATAAGGAGGCTAGGCTCAGAGAAAGCTTACCCAAGGATGTTCAGCTGGGAAATGGCAGAAGATGACATGAACCTGTGTCTGTCTGTCTGGTCGCAGAGCCCCTCCTCTTTCTGCCCTAGCCTGTACCAGACCTTACTACTCCAGCCCCTGCGTCCAGATGTCCCAGCATCTGCTGTCCCCAAGGCTGATTCCAGCCACACATCACTTCCTCCCCCGCCAGGTTCCTTCTGTGCTCCCCAGAGTCCCTGTCTGACTGCCTGTTTGCCAACCTTGCCTGTCAATGAATTATTGATTTCTGCCCTTGGCAAGCATTGAAGATCTTTGTTGTTGAGCACTCTGGCTTTTGTGAAACTCTAGGAAATAATTGTTCACAGACAGGGTTCTATTAATTATAAAGAGGACTTAATTTCAGTGGGAGGCTGATGGGGCTGTTTCGAAAGCCTGTGCCCTGAGTTGCTGATAAAGCCCTGAAGCCCTGAGCACAGCTTCTCTGAGCTCCTTGAGGGTGGGAGAGGCAGACAGGTGGTACTCCAGGTCGACAGGTCTCATCTGACACCACGTAGCCACGTGCAGAGATACTTGAGGAGGCACTATGGGACAGAGACTGGCCCTTAAATATTTGGACAAGGGAGGTGCAGAGCAATAGAACAAAGTGAGAGACCTTAGACAATTCCTGGCTGTCCTAATACCGTGTCTTTCTTGCCATCCCTCTGCTAACATCACCCTCCATGTTCTTTAAGTCCTAACTCGGGCTTGGCCCTCCCCTTGGAACCCTATTTTCTCCCTCTCTTCTCCATCATTAGCTTGGGCATCTTCTGAGCCTTGCTTGCTTCTCACTGCAGCTGCCCTGGACTCTGGCCTCTAGAGTCAGACAGACCTGGGTTCGAATACTAGCATGGAGTGAATCCTAGGACTGTAGGCCAGTGAGGAGCCACATCAGCCTTAGTATACTTAGAAGTGAACTTGAAACTGAAGGTTGTGGGGTTGTGGTCCATGCCTTTAATCCCAGCACTTGGAAAGCAGAGGCAAGTGAATACCTGTGATTCTGAGGCCAGCTTAGTCTCATGGTGAGTTCCAGGTCAGCCAGGGCTACATAGTGAGACTTTGTCTCGAAAAAAGTGACCTTGAACAAAAATAGTATCTACTAGAGGGCTCAAGCAGCCCTCAAGTATTGAATGGTAATTCTTGAGTTTGAAGATCAAGAAATATTACAATAATTAGCTATTATGTCTTCCGAACCACCAGTCGTTACATGTGGTCGCAACATTGTTGTCATGTCTGTCTGTGCCAGTGAAACAGTGAGTTCTCTGAGGGCAACAGTGACGTCCATTTCATTCTGTATCTTCACTGCTCAGAAAAAGACCTGGCCAGAGCAGCTACTGTCTGCACTGGCCCGGAATAGAAGGGTATGGGGATGAATGGATGAAGGATGGCTGGGTGTTCTGATGCTCAGCATCATCGAGACAGATGCAACAAACTAATAAATGCCTATAGGTTCAATAGAACTGTTTGACCTGATTCTCAGTGCTCTCAGGGATTTGATTTTCCCCTTGTCTTACTCTCTTCCTCTCTCTTTTCCATGACCCTGCTCCATCAGTCTATCCTTGGGGTACAGTGTGAAGTCCAGAAACAACTCAAGGCCTTCGTTACCTTAGAACGCTTTGATCAGCTTTATGGCTCCACCATCACCAGCTGCCAGCAGGCCCCAGAGACAAAGAAGTTTGCCTCCAGTGGTTCCATCTTTGGCAAGGGGGTCAAGTTTGCCTTGAAAGATGGCCGCGTAACCACAGACATCATCAGCGTGGCCAATGAGGATGGGCGGAGGATTGCGGCCATCTTGAACAATGCCCACTATCTAGAGAACCTTCACTTCACCATTGACGGGGTGGACACCCACTACTTTGTGAAACCAGGACCTTCGGAAGGCGACCTGGCCATCCTGGGCCTCAGTGGGGGGCGGCGAACCCTGGAGAACGGGGTCAACGTCACGGTGTCCCAGATCAACACCATGCTCAGTGGCAGGACTAGACGCTACACTGACATCCAGCTGCAGTACAGGGCACTGTGCCTGAACACCCGCTACGGGACAACCGTGGACGAGGAGAAGGCGCGGGTGCTGGAGCTGGCCAGGCAGAGAGCTGTACGCCAGGCTTGGGCCCGGGAGCAGCAAAGACTGCGGGAAGGGGAGGAAGGCCTGCGGGCCTGGACAGAGGGAGAGAGGCAGCAGGTGCTGAACACAGGGCGGGTGCAGGGCTATGACGGCTTCTTTGTCACCTCCGTCGAGCAGTACCCAGAACTGTCGGACAGCGCCAACAATATCCACTTCATGAGACAGAGCGAGATGGGCCGAAGGTGACAGAGAGGGCCAAGGCCCGGACTTCTTGCCAAAGACAGCTTTCCTTCTGTGTCCGTATACCTGACTGTGTTGTACTTAACAAAAAAAAAAAAAAAAAAAATTTTTTTTTAACAAAGTAAAAAAAAAAAAAAGAAAATGGTTGCATTGTTAATTCATGCAACATCTTTTTTTTTTTAGAGAAAAACACAAATTTGGCCTTCACACATTTTTTTTTTTTGCAAAGAATGGAGGTATTTTTCCTGTAGTGTGACCACAATGATGACTTGATTGTCTTTTGTTCCCCTTTTCCCTGAGGAATTTTCCCTGTTGTTTGGGGGTACATTTCTCCTCTCTTTGGGGTACACATCGCCTTGGGTGTGTCCTCGCCCATCCCTAGGTACCCAGTGTGATGTGGGACGCGAGTGTCTGTGCTAACTTGTCTCATGTGTAACCCTTTCTTCTTTGACTAGGGTTGGGTGGGAGTGAGGGGTGCAGAGAGGAACGGGCTTGTGGGACCTCGGGAACTTTGATTAGGCTCCCACAAAAAGTGGTGAGCTCCTCTCCACCACGCTTTGTGTCTCCTGAGGGCCCACGTCATGCTCTGGGAAAGTCCACGGTGTCGTTCCGCCAGCACCTTGTCGAGCCACCCCAGACTCCCGTCCAAGCATTGTATTTTGATGCTAAATGAACACCCCCACTCTCCCTTTTGCAAGTCTCTAGTGTAGCTGTCAGTGCCACCCCCACCCCCATAACAAAATAGAGAAGGTGTCTCCTAGGTCTTCTCCCCAGTCTGGTGATATAACATCCTGGGGCTGCGAGCCCCATCCTTCCCAAGAGGCGAGAGCACCAGGATGTCGGTGAGTGGTTGACTTTCCACGATGCCCCCCGCTCATCTCCTCCTCTCTCCCAAAGTCATGTGAGAACCAGCACTGCGCAGGAGCCCTCCGAGTCCAGGGACGGCAAGGAAGCCCTGTCCCTTCCAGTGCTCAGCTGCCGCCACTGAGAGCCAGAAGTGTGGCAAGAAATGCCTGGTGGCCTTCGATCCTGGGAAGATGCATAGGAAATGCAAAGTCAGCCAAAGAAAGGAGTCAGCAAAGGCATGAGCCAGGGATCCTTCTAGCCGGCTCCTGGCCTCTCTTCTGCCTCCCTTCTCTGGGCTATTCCCAGAGGCTCCCGAGTCCCAGACCCCTTCTGCGGAGTCTCTTCACTAGAGAACCCCAACCAGGATTGGTTTTGGTTTTGGTTTTAAATAAGAGGAAAGAGCTCATTTGGTGTGGCCTGTCGGTGTCCTGCAACCCCACTGGGGTCAGTGATGGCAGGGCCGGAGGCTGGCGCCTGTGGATCCCAAAGGCCAGGCTAGCGTTGTTCCCGCGGAGACCTCTGCACATAGGCGCGTGCCATCTAGAAGAGGCTAGGCAGAGGCGCAGCTAGTGCTGGGGGGCTGCCCAGAGGGAGGCAGCAGCCAGCAGGCCAGGGGAGGTATGAACACAGAAGAGGGTAACAGCAAGAGCTAGGAGCTCGCTGGAGAATTCCTTTCGTGGTCTGTCTGCCCGGATCCCGTGGTCATTAGCACTCACAGGAGGCTCTGGGAGATGGGGGCAGGGGAGGGGGGAGCCAAATGCTTCCTTTTGAGCTGGGCTTCTTAGAAAATGGGACTTTTATGGGTTACATTTACATTAAGTGTGGAAAATGAATTCTGAGTCTAAGCTATTCCCCGTGGAAACCTTGTTGGACTGATAAGCTCATGGCACCTTTATAGCCTTACGGAGTCTTCAGAAACATGACATGAGTTAATGAAACCGAAAAGGTCTCTTACTGCATGAGAATCGGAGCCATGTGGAGTCCGGGTTCTGCCTGGCAGAGGGAGGCGCCCAAAGCTTCTCCGGGAGGGGAGATCGCCTTACATTGTCCCACTGGGATTAGAGGATGTGTTTCGCTAAGTGCTCTTCCTGATTAAAAAAAAAATGCCACAGTGTGTCACGGCCCACTCTATCCACTGGTGGCCACAGTATGTCACGGCCCGCTCTATCCACTGGTGGCCACAGTGTGTCACAGCCTGCTCTATCCACTGGTGGCCACAGTGTGTCACGGCCCGCTCTATCCACTGGTGGCCACAGTGTGTCACAGCCTGCTCTATCCACTGGTCGTCACAGTGTGTCACAGCCCACTCTGGGATGAGAGCTCTGCCGATGCCCCTTCATGTCCACTGTACCCAGCATGAGCTGCTAATGGGGACTCCCTTCTGGCATGATCATTCTTGGATGGGATAGAAAATAGTTTGACCTGAAAAACCACAATTCTTTTTGTATTCAAAAGACACCTCTCAAAATGTGCTTTTACTGTAAGGGTCCTTTGGGCAGAGTTGTCCTGTGAGTTGGCCTAGTTGATCTATCCCAGACTGACTGCCTGACATTGGCTGAGATCTGCTGGGAACATTTACTTGTAAGCCAGAGACAGCATGTGACCCAAAGGAAGCATCTCCTTGTACCTATCCAGCCTGTCTTCCTCCCCCACTGCCTTCCTCCCTCACAGATCAGTAAACACAATGAATCATTGGGTGTTCTTTTTAAAAAACAAAACAAAACGAACCAAAGGGATGACCCAGTATTCTCCCTGGGTTTCATCCCAGAAAGAGTACTTAGCTTCTACAGGGGAAACAAGCAAGCTGTCCTGAGCTACAAAGGAATTCAGCCGCAGGCTTGACAAACACACGCCTCTACCTTAGCTGGGCACTCTGGCCTGGGCCCCTTTAAGTTGGATTCCACCTCCCAGGTGTGTTTGGAGGCATATACCACAGCTCCTTTTGCCTATGTCGGAGGCTTTGAGTATTAAATCTCTTCCTAGACAGCACCTGTCTTTTGGGCATCAGCTACATCTGTTCACTTGATAGAGTGACCAGATCTTCCTCACTGGCCCACGCTTGCGATCTAAAGGGTGGGTAGCTTCTGAACCTGTAAGATCTGTTTCAAGTAGTCCGTGCCTCCTCTACCCTCCATAACTACCAATCAATCAGTTCCTCAACCTCAGTCCCTCCTCCATGACCTTAACCAAGACTTTATCAATCCCCAATTTTGTCTTCTATACCCCAAGACCCACCCACCCCCTTTACAACCATTTCCCAGACAAGCGTCACTGCTGGGTACAGGGGCAATATTGACTCCGTGGTAAACCACACTGAGCCTCTGACGCTTGGCTCAAAATCACTAGTGGAGAATTAGCTCAAGGTCCACGCTGGTGCCTGACTCTCCTGAGGGATACAAGGTTTGAAAGACACCCTAGGAAGGTCCCAGGAGGTTGAGACTGGCCGAGTGCCTACAGATAAAACAGGTGGCATTGGGCAGGGCTGGATGATGGAGAATCCTAAAAGCTGAGCTACCTGGGCAGGGCTTTCTAGGCACAGAGCAAGGGAAGAAGAGGGGCCTTTCAGCTGTGACTTCTAAGCCACTGCCTTTACAGGCAAGGTTTTCAACGTGACATCTTAGGATACCGCTTTGCCATTTGCAGCCCTGGCATTTCTGGTGGCCTCTTGGTGAGAGCAGTGACATTGGGTCTTGTACCCAGGAAGATGAGCTTGCTGGTCTTCAGCAGGGTGCTGGGCTGTGGGACTTGATCACCCATTACACAAAGATGAGAATTCTCTTCATCCTTCACAGCAACCACCCAGCCCAAGAGGTGGCTCCCGATCCTGGGGATGGGAGGTCCCCAAAAGACTCAGCCTCTCCTTTCTCCTGGGATCCTCATCAGGACTAAAAGCCCTCCATGTGAGGCATGCCATCCCCAGCTAGGTCCAAACCATTGTCTCTATTTTGTGGGAGATGAAGGATGTGAGGGGGGTAGAACTGTGCCGTTCAAGGCCTTTTTGTTTAGGCTTTTCCCAAACAGCAAACTCATTGCTCAGGTGACAGAGAGAAACTTAACCTCTCCAACCTTCTCATTCTCAAAAACCAGCCTTGTGTACTTGACTGCCCTGAACAGTGGTGCGCTCTGAGGTGTCACGGTGTTGTGGAAGATCAAAGGCGGGAAGGCTTGGGGTGGGGACCTCGTGTTACATTTGGGAGGCCCTGGCGGGGGCCCTGTGTTGTGTTTCTTACCCTCCGGGGAATGCCAAAGGCACAAGACTGGGCTACTTCCTGGTCCCTAAGAAAAACTGTGATTGCTTGTAAGGGCAGATGTTTCAGGGATAACTGCCCACGGGCAGGCTCGGCTGTCCCAGCAGAAGCAGACCCACAGATGTCTGGGGGTCCCCGGCAGCTCTGATCCACTCACCACCAGAACCCCACTGTTCTAAACGTGCCCGTTGTTCCGAGGACCTCTGACCCGCGGCTCTGGCAAGGGACACTTCTGAGCTGCCTCTGGATGACTGACATTGGAGACTCTGGCCTTACCATGTGGAAATGTTTTCCTGAAATCTGGAACTAATTTTGAGAAGTTTTTTTTCTCAACACTTTTGTGTTTCTAACACTGTATTCTTGACTGTGTAAATACCAACAAGGCTGTAAATAAATGCAGATGTAGATACCTTCTAGAAAAAAAAGGGGGGGGAAGCATAAAAAAGAAAACCAGAAGTGATCCCGTGTAGCCTTCGTTGACAAATAAAAGACTATTTTGTGTTTAAAGGTGTGCGGTGGCCTTTGTTGGGAGACAGTGGTGGTTACCAGGAGGGATGGACAAAGACCCCACCTTAATACTGGAGTCCCTAGCAGGTCCTACGTGCCATGGACAGAGATTTCCAGAGGGCCACAGAAAGTCCAAGGTGACTTTACAGAAAGAGGTGATTACAGAAACCCCTCTCACCTCAGGTAGTGCCCAACTGCTGCCCAGGCTGAGTCCTTGCCTGGTCCCCATGCTCTGACTTCAAAGACACCCGGCCTTGTCCACCACCAGACACAGGGCCTGCCACAGGGACACTGCACCCTACAAACGAGCAGGTGCATGTTCAGCTGAGACATGATTATCATCACTTAGTGCAACTTAGAAAGGTGAAAACTCCTTTAACCATGTGTGTGTTTCCCCTGCGGTGTTCTTTGCAATCTCACTGAGTTGCCATCGCGGTTCATGGGTCCTTCTGTCATCTACCCTCACTTAAGCTGTGCGTGGGGAGGAGAGGTTATCTAGTAAGCCCTGCTCCC